ATTCAATATAGACTAAAAATACAAATCATAAATGAAAGGTAGCAGAAGAAAAAAATCTTATCTGCCTCTTTTCTCGAAAAAATAAATTCATACAAAAATAGTCTTCAAATAACAAAAACAAAACCAAAGAGGAAAATAAATAAAGGTTAACTCCTAGAACAACAGCTCGTATAAATAGACATTATTACATATTTCTCCAACAGACTAAACTTTATCATTCTCTTAAATACACCCATTGATCTGGCGTTTTTAACACCATCTTCCAGATTATTCCATAATCTTATTCCTTGGACTGACGTACTCCGTTCCTTCAAACTGGTACTAAATTTAGGTTTGACAAACATCTCTGTCCCTTTGAGATTATAATTCTCTCTTACAGAATGTAATTGGATGTTTGAAGGCGATGTGTTTTTATGAGCCCTATACACAACTGATAAAATACTATAATCAACCAAATCGTAGAACTTCAGCTGATAGAACAATCTTCTCCACTTGTAAATTGTTTTCCAAAAAAGTGGACCAGCTGATTTCAGATTGTTTTAAAATCTTTTACCAGACTCCAAAACTGCTACAAGTTTCAGTAAAAATCAGGGCATCCTGATTTATTTCTCACCAAAACCCTCAAATAAAAAAAACCTTACATTGTACAGAAAGTTTTAAAAATGCTTCCCTGAAGTTTGAAATGTTCTTTCCATGTTGTTAGAATAAATATTTGTTAATTTGTCCAAATWTGTGGAGGAAAAAAAAGCATCAAATATGAACTTTGTCAAAAAAAATACGGCGTAAACTTGTCCTGATGCATCGCAGTAATCCTGGTAGAAAAAATCAAAAAGAAAAAATAAGTAGGTCCTCTGGATGAGTTCTTCTTTAGTGAAATGTTTTGTCTCTCCTCCAAGAGACCTTCAGTCTGATGAGTTTCATGTAAACTCAGCCTTATAAGCTCCGCCTCCACCTGGACAAACAGGTTAGTCACATGCAAAAGAGGGCCATCGCCTAACAATAGGCTTGATTAACTCTATTTAGTCACATGCAAAAGAGGGCCATCGCCTAACAATAGGCTTGATTAGCTCTGTTGTTCATAGAGGGTCATGTGTCCCATCACCTGACCCGTGTCATGTTATGTGTATGTAGTGAATGCAAGCGGGGCTCGATGTCCCCTTGTTTTTGTCCCTCTTTCCCTCTTTGTGTTGGTATCACTGGGACCCTGATTCACACCTTTTGTTCACAGGGGGCGGAGTCATACTTGCAATAACAGCGTTGTAGGTGTGAATCAGGGCCCCATTGATACCAACACAAAGAGGGAAAGAGAGACAAAAACAAGGGGACTTTGAACCCCGCTTGCATTCACTACATACACATTACACGACACAGGTCAGGTGATGGGGCACATGATCCTCTGAACAATAGAACTAATCAAGCCTATTGTTAGGCGATGGCCCTATTTTGTATGTGACTAACCTGTTTGTCCATGTAGAGGCGGAGCTTATAAGGCTGAGTTCACCTGAAACTCTTAGAGGAGAGATGAAACGTTTCACTAAAGAAGAACCCATCCAGAGATCCTACTTATTTTTTCTTTTTGTCTGCGTAAACTTGTTTTTATTAGTTTCAGAGTAAACGAGTAAAACAGAGCGAGTAATAAGTTTAGATATTTAACTAAGTGCTTAAATCTTGTGTTTCGTGGAAGTTTAAACTGAAACCCACCTCTGCAGGTTGCTTTCACTTTGAATGAAGAGCTGACGGTGATCGAAGGTCTGGAAGACAAGGCGGTGTCGGCTCCCCGCGAGCATCCCTTCACCATGCAGTCGGTGGGGGGTCAGATGCTGGCGGTCTTCACAGAAACCTCATCCGGTGAGTTTTGGACTCCCGGTCGGAGGACCGGCAGGGTCTGCTGCATCCTGAGGCGTCGGGGTCTCAGCTTCTGCTGGTTGTGCAGCTTGCTTTGTTTGTTTCCATATTTCTGTCTCTCTTCATCATCGTCTCTGTGTGTCAGCGTCAGAGTGAAGATGTCTAAACATCACAAAACCATATTTTATTCAGATTGGAACATTAGAAATGTCTAAACTCAAACGGTACGTGGGAGGAGTTGGACTCTGACGCCCTCCTCCAAACTCCTGCCTAAATCCTGGTTACCGTTCCACTTTGAAGAAAATATGATGCAGTCTGTTTTATTAACATTTTACCCAACATCCCAGCTTCTTTAGGATGTTGAACATAAAATAAATTAATTTTTTGTTTGTTTGTTTTTTCACATCATTTGCTGTTTCTCTTTAATTGGTTTCCAGTTCTTTGTCGGTTGACTTTTTTAATATCTAATCACTTCTGTTAATCGAGTGTTTTCTTGGGGAATAACGTCGAGTCGACACGAATCATCGCTGAGTTTGGACATGATTTGTTTCTGCATGGCTTCTTCTGTTTGGGTTTAATTTTATTTTATGTTGTGAGGCTTTAYTTGCTTTTGGTTCTGGTGGACTCGCGCTGCGCTGCTGACTTTCAGAGGCCGTAACGTCTCTGCACAGTTGCTGTTTTTAGAAAGCAAATAAATTGATTCAGGGTTGACTTGTTCAAACAGAATTTTTTTTAATTCCAGTTAATAAAAAGCATTTGTGCAGCCCTGTCCTGTCCTGTGTGTCGGGCTTTGTTCAGTTGGCTTTGCTCTTGTGCCGTGAAGCTGTGTGATTTTTAACCTCTCCGTCAGCGGCAGAGTGTGTTATCATGTTCACCATCCATCCCCTTCCTCCCTGTAGGCCAGTCAGAAGAAAGATCTGATGGCAGCAGCTCAGGTTCGGGGGCAGGTCCAGGTGAGTCCTCACGTTTTTAGCGGAAAGAGACAGAAGTCGCGTCTTATTTTGTTTCGCCAATTTGTGGCATGACAATAAAAAGACGAATCGACTCATTGGTAGATATGTTGCTGCAGATCAAACTAAACAGAGGTTTTGTTTTTTGGATCTTTGCCGTGAACTTTACGTGAATTTTGGACGGAGGTAGGATTGGGTTTTGACAACAGGACCGGCTCCTGGTGCTGGTTGTAGTCTGTCTCAGGAAAGATYTGATCTGATCTTTGGATTATGTTGAGGTACTCATCTGTCCGTCCCGTCACCATCAACCCAGGGGTGCCACAGGGATGTGTACTCGGTACATATCTTTCTGCAGATCTAYGTACTGTAATTTTTGTGAAATACGCCAATTACGACATCATCTTGGGCCTCATCACAAACAACGATGAGACACATGGGGGTGCCACAGTGATGCGTACTCAATCCATATCTTTTTATGGATTTATGTACTGTAATTTTTGTGAAATATGCCGATGACATCATCATCTTGGGCCTCATTACGAACAACGATGAGATGCACGAGGGTGCCACAGGGATTTATGCTCGGTCTGCATCTTTCTACAGATCTGTGTACTGTAATGTTTGTGAAATATGCCGATATCATCATCATCATCCTGAGCCTCATTGGGAACAATGATAAAACGCACAGGTGTGCCACAGGGATGTGTACTCGGTCTGTATCTGAAGATCTACGTATTGTAAAGTTTCTGTAATATGCTGWTGACATCATCATCCTGGGCCTCATCACCGATGACAATGAGACGGCTGACAGGAACTAAGTTTCAGAGCTGACAGCGAGGTGTACAGGAAATRGTCTGGAGTTAAGCTCCAACAAAACGGTTGAGATGATTGTACAACCACCTTTTGTGAGTTTCAATAAAATATACCCACTGGTTTATAACATATTTTGCTAACAAATGGACAAACATCAATAACATGCTTTTCATATTTGAACCATTTATTATGTGACCTCCATTTTTAACCAGAAGCCAGTAAATATTTTTTTAATTTATTTAAATCTTTATTAAAGACCGTCCTAACCAAGCCTGGCACAAGTTGGTTTTAAAACATTAAGACATAAAAAATGATGTTTAAATAATATGGAAACAAAATAAAAGTGATTCAGGGATTAAAGGTACACCTAAACCATCATAATTTTATATATGGGTCATAAGTTTGCCCTAAATTATGGAAAAATACTAAAKTTATGATTTGTCTGAGGGTACTTACTTTTCTTTAAAAATTGTAATTGTTTTTTCTTCTTATTAATGTTGTATAGTATGTAAGTTATAACAGTTAATATGTAATAWAAATGTAATAAAATCTTGTTTTTCCAGATAAAATAGCCTTGGAGGGCGTGGTGGTGCAGCGGGCCGAGTGCAGACCTGCTGTTAGTGAAAGCTACATGAAGTTAAAGAAGTGAGTTGTGTCTTTATTCAGGATGTCTGAGAGTTTTTTATTATTTTAAATAATATCTTTGTCCAACAGGCTACAGATCGAAGAATCCTCCAAACCAGCCCGGCTGTCCCAGCAGCTGGACAAGGCCGTCACCAACAACTACAGACCTGTGGCCAACCACGACTACAACGTAAGAACCGTCCTTGAGGACGTTGTCTTCTCTTGTCTCCCTCGTGGTTTTATTTTATTTATTTTTATTTTTTCTGTGGCTGCAGCGTGAATACGAGAGGAAAAAGAAGGAGGAGGGGAAGCGAGCACGAGCGGAGAAGCAGCAGGTGTTGGACATGTTGTTCTCTGCTTTTGAGAAGCACCAGTACTACAACATCAAAGACCTGGTGGACATCACCAAACAGCCCGTGGTGAGGATGCTGATTCGTCAAAACCTTCGGCTGTTTTATTATTTGGAACCATTCTTAATGATTGTTTTAGTTTAACTTTGTTTACAACCATTTATCTCACAGACGATGTTACGATCTGTTTTTTCTCCTGCTCCTCTTTAGCTGCTGTCTTGCTAGTTTTGGCCTTTAGCTGCGTATTAGCTTTTTTTTTTGTCACGATTCAACCAAGTTAAATATTTTAATGATTAAATTAACAAATTTAAGCATTTCTATCTATATATTTT